AAGCTATAACAACAAGAACCAAGCTCCGAGATCTTATGAATTGTGCTAACCAAATCCATTGTTCACCTCCTTCTGATCCTATTTGGAAAAGGTAGTTCTAAGCATCATTTGAACTGAAACAAGTTACCATAATGTAGCCTGATACTCTCTGATTCTTTCCCTTAACTTATCTTGCTTTGGTTGATCGTATATGGCATTTAATTTTACTTTTCGTGTTTTTTTTTCCACTGAGTTTTCTCCAAAATTCTCCATACTAGCTTTTAATAAATGAAAGTGAAACATGTGGTTGAGATCGCACTAATGAGACGGTTATAATGGCATAGTTTTCATGATCTAACTTTGCCATTTGCCAAACTTCAGTAAGCATCTCACCGAAGAAGATGACCGAAGGTGCAGAGGTGGTAGTCTGATCACGCCATGTGTTTTAATCTTAGTGATTGATTTAAATTGGATCTGATGCGTTATTTCATTGAAGATCCTTGTCGAGCTTCCAAATCTAAGTCATCTGATGTGCCACATCATTTAATGAATCTAGATCCAACGCGCTTTGTTTTTTCTGATTTATTTCTTTTTCTTTTATTTCATTTTATTTGTTTTTTCTTTTAAAAATTTATTTTAAATCAGATTTTCATACAAAAAATTTCTAAAACTATATTCTATTATTTTATGCCTTGTGTAATATTTTTATAATTTTATTTTGTGTTTTGATATTTTTCTTTAACTTTTTTCATGTATCATGCATTTTAATTGGTTTAAAAATATTTTTCATGCATTAAAAAATCTCAAAAAATATTTATATGTTTCTTGACTTGTTTATAACTTTTCATGATTTTATTAAGCTTTTTTTTTTTTTTTTTTTTTTTTTTTATGTTTAGATACTTCATTTGCATATTATTTTTAGTTAAAAATCATTTTAAAAATCACTTTCCATGCATATTAATTGTTTATTATTGCATTTTATATTATGTTTGACTTCTGGTGCCTTGGATCACCACACTTGATCATAAGTTTCATCAATATTAATGGACCTTGGGTGTTGATAGGTTGAAAATCTAATCCACCAAGATAGATGGTTGATCTTGATGATAACTTGATCAAAGTTGTGGTTCAATTTGGGTTTTCTTTCTCTTCATCTTCATCTCCTTCTCTTTCTCTTTCTTTTCTTTTTCTTTTTCTCTTGATCAATTGGATGATTTAGTGTCCATCTTGTTCATGAAGTTTGGATTGATGCTTGATGAACTTTCATTATTTCAAATCTACCTTCCAATTGATCATGGATCATTTGAGGTACTTTAGATTGATTTATAAGTTTGTCCTAAGTTATCATGAAGAGTGACTGATATAATGGACCAATCTCCTTGCTTTAGTGCTTGATTCCTCCTTGGTTTTTACTTGTGCTACATGTTTTAGAAGTATGATTTCTATCATATCTCTAACATGTGTGGTACATAAATTGTTATTGATCGACCTCCCATAGTATGATCTTCCTAATATATAGTACTATGATTGCTTAATATAACGCTAAATTTGTCCCGGATCGATTCATTAACGTTAACATCAATACAAACATTATTATTGTGATAACTTTACTTTATGTCATTTAATTTTCTTGTCATTCAATTTTCCTGCCATTTACTTTTATGCCTTTATTTTGAGCATTATATTTCATATTGTTTATGTTTATGCTTCTTTTTCCTTTGTCCACTTGGGCATTTTCTTTTGCCTTTAAAGACATTAATAAAGGAAAAACCCTAAAAAACTTGGTTCTCTAATATTTGGAATAATGGTTACTATCCTTAGCTTGACTTGGAGTTTGACTTTTGGACCCATGGACTTTGGTTACTTTTCCCTATGCTATTGGATTGTTCTGAGACCTTAGACCTTTGGTTGACTCTTAAAGACTTGACTTTGATACATAACTTTGACCTTATGGCTTGATTTCTTCTTTCATCCCATGCTTGTCTTATTTTGTGATTACTTGTTACTTGTGGCTCAATCCAAGAGAATGGAATGTTTGCTTTGACTTATGTAAGATGCTTTCCTATGCTTGTTAGTTCATAATGCACATACAAATGCTTCCTCTTGGGTTACCTTACAATGATACATTTTATTTCTGTCTATATACTTTATGCATTAGGATAGTCTTTTCATCTCCTCCCCTTCTTTATTTTTCAAAATCTTATTCCTTTTCCAAAACCTTCTTGTTTTCAAACTTGAACCACTTTCTCAATAAACTTTGACTTTGTCAAGTGGTTTTCAAAATCTTTTTCTTAAATAAATGCTAAGACATCTTAAGCATATCAAAACAATTTCAAAAGACTTAAAAAACACAATACTCATTCAAATCTTTTGTGCTTTTGTGCACCTTTTCCCTTTAAACCTTTTCTTAAGGATAGTCATTAGTTGTGTTCTTGTAATGATGCAACTCCTATACTTCCACAAATAATGTAGAGAAGTGGTGACATTTTCCACTTAGATGTTGAGTGATAGACTTGTTGATTTCAATCCAAGCAAAAATCCTCCATCTCAAGATGATGCAAATGCTCCTTCCTCATTAATTGTGGGTAGTAAGTTGAGTTTCCACTCGAATATGACGAAACATATTTTCATTTAAAATCAATCAAAACAAACACTTTTGTTATTGTTACCACGAACTACGAGGGATGATAGGTGGGTGTGAGATATACAACTAAATTAGGGCAGGGAAGGTACTGAAGATATGATAAATGTAGAGGCTGGTTGTTTGAAAAACATTTTAGAAAATATTCATCCTTATGAAGACAAAAGGGACGAGTTTACGTGGTGTGATTGTATAGGTAAAGATTTTATTGTGCAATCGCGTTATAAGCTTATGATGGAGGTTGGGGATGTTTCACCCTTGGGTCAATGTAGAATAGCTTTACTTAAAGTTATCTGGGAGGCCAAGGTTCCCTCCAAGGTCAAGGTTTTCGCGTGGATATTCATTTTGGACAGACTGCCAACAAAGGTCTAACTAATTAAAAGATCAATTATTGCACTTTTTGAAACAACAAGTGCACATTCTGTTCTGAACAGGATGAAGACATTCTTCATCTTTTCTTCCATTGCCATGTTTCGATCTCTGTTTGGCAGCAGGTGATGTATGGTGGAGGACCCTGTCATTCTCTGTTGTTGTTCTTTCATGCTTCCAAAGGAAACATACGGAAAAATATGGAGTGTACGATATGGTTGGCAACAATTTGAAGCTTATGGAGGATGACAAGTAAATGCGTTTTTTTATTGAACAGAGGGTCGAAGCCCAAAACATAAAAGCTACACCAGAATCATCCGGGGAACAGATAAGCCCAGCCCAACAGATAACTTTCCAACAAGCCATTTTTGAAAAAGGGAAATATAATGTTTATGTCGTACTATTTAATGAAGTCATTTCTAGGTTATGGCTGATCCTTGACTCTAATAAGAGTAAAAATTGTAGCTTTTATGATTGAAATTATTGTAAATTATTGAATTGTATGAGGAAAGAATACTCTTATATTCATTAATCATTATCAATATATTTCTTGTTTAGTAAAAAAAAATTAAAATCTCTATTCTTTTTTCACGTGATTTTAAAAATTCACATGTATAGTATTTTAAAAAAAAATAAAAACACTACTCTTTTTTAAAAGCATTCTCATTTAGTTGTGCGTGTTTTGTAAATCACATGAAAATGAAGCATAATATTTTTATATAAAAAGTGTTGTGAATCTTAAAATTAATTTTTAAAACATATAATTAAAATCAATAATATACGGACTTGATTATCCAATAAAAAAAATGATAGGTATATATTTATAATAAAAAGTAGTATGATACGGTGCCTTCCTACCATTTCTTATTTAATTATTGTGTAATAAGAACTAATTGAGGTAGCTGATATTATATTGAATAAATTTCCATTTCGTTCAAAAGTGACCATTACGTCTCAAATGACTGAGACTTATGATTTTGATCTTTCTACTTAATTATTTCTCCACTATTTAATTTGTATCGGAACTTATCACCGTTCACCCACCTCTAATAAGGATGTTTTGATAAAAACACACCCAATAGATAATTAAAAATATGTTATAAAAAAGAAATAAATAAATTTCTAAACTCAACTTCTAAGAAGAGAAAGAGCTACCATTTCATTTGTTTTTGTCGTTTCATATCTTGTTGGTGTATTGCCGGCTGGTCACATACCAAAAGAGCTTTCCTGATTTTATTTTTAATATAATAATATTTATCAATAATGCCACCACAAAATTTATTTTTGGGCGTAGCCTACTTTTGTTTCAATTATATTTTTTTTTAATTTTTATTTTACATTTTTATTTTTTTATTAATTTTTATATGATAGTTTGCATATCTCTTATATTTTATTAGTTTTGTTATTATTTTATAAATAATTTAATTAAAATAAAAAATAAATACACAAAAAAATATTTTTTATATGTTTGTGCGTTAATAAAAACAGACGGACGGACACGAGAATACCCGTCTAAACACTCGTATATATAATTTAAAAGAAAGTCTGTGACACACCATAACGGTTTCAACGCTGATATTCATACGGCCGTATTTTTGTTATAATATAAATTTTGATTAATTTATATCTTGACAACCACAGTCTGAATCAATCGAAATCACAGAACCTTTTATAATATATATATATATATATATATATATATATATATATATATATATATATATATATATATATATATATATATATATATATATATATATATATATATATATATATATATATATATATATATATATATATATATATATATATATATATATGTAGCAACAGAAGAAAGGTTTTGAATGTGGTTTTCTACATCCTCTGTTTTAAAGTTGAAAATATACTTAGAACTTTGAAGCTTGTGTGCAAAGTCTTAGGGAAAAACAGGTAAAGAGTTTATGTTATAGCATAGTTTGATTATTCAATCGTAGTTAAATGATTGAACATATATAAATGCATGTTTTACAGAATGGAAGAAGCTAACGACAATTCAAGAATAAAAGAAGAAAACGTTGCTCCTCCATCAGTAAAGTTGGAGTCATTTGAGAGTTTTCCAAACTACGCGAGAGCACTCTTGTACACTCCATGTCGATTACTGGACCGGGTTACAGCCCGGTCCAGCGACGAAATAGAGTTGGTGGATATAAAGAAACGAAGTCAACATGAAATGAAGAAAACACTAACATGGTGGGATCTGATATGGTTTGGCATGGGGAGTGTGATTGGCTCAGGCATATTTGTGCTAACAGGACTTGAGGTTAAGAACACTGTGGGACCTGCTGTGGTTATATCATATCTTGTTTCTGGAATTTCTGCTATGTTGTCTGTTTTTTGTTACACTGAATTTGCTGTTGAAATTCCTGTTGCTGGTAAGTATTTTTTGCTTAAAATATTTTGCAACGGTTGAAACATGTTGGTTATTTTTTGACAGATAAAATATTGGTTTCATGTCTTTATATATAGGTGGTTCCTTTGCTTACTTAAGAGTTGAGCTTGGTGAGTTTGTGGCATTCATAGCATCTGGAAACATTATTCTTGAATATGTAATCGGCGGCGCTGCAGTCTCGCGCTCATGGACATCCTATTTTGCAACACTTTGCAATCAAAGATCAGACAAATTTGTCATCGTAGCGCATTCCCTTGTACACGACTACAACAAGCTTGACCCTATTGCTGTTTTTGTTCTAGCAGTTACTTTCTCCTTTGCTGTTTTCAGCACGAAGGGTTCATCGCGTTTAAACTACATTGCATCGATAATACATGTCATTGTCCTAATGTTCATCATAGTTGCTGGTTTATCAAAAGCCGATGCTAAAAATTTTTCTGATTTCACACATTATGGTGTTAGAGGAGTCTTCAGTTCCGCCGCTGTTTTGTTTTTCGCTTATGTTGGATTCGACGCCGTTTCCACAATGGCCGAGGAAACGAAGAATCCCGGAAAAGATATACCTATTGGTCTAATAGGATCAATGACACTTACAACATTTATTTATTGCATGATGGGTGTGACACTTTGTTTGATGCAAAAATATTCGGATGTTGATGAAAATGCTGCTTATTCGGTTGCATTCGAAGCCGTTGGAATGAAATGGGCTAAGTACGTTGTTGCATTTGGTGCATTAAAAGGAATGACTAGTGTTCTACTTGTTGGTGCTGTTGGTCAAGCAAGGTATCTCACACACATTGCAAGAACAAATTTGTTACCTTCATGGCTTGCAAAAGTGAATGAGAAAACTAAGACACCGGTTAATGCCACTATTGTTATGTTTATTGCAACTGGTATTGTTGCATTTTTCACAAGTCTTGATGTTCTTGCTAATTTACTTTCTATTTCAACTTTGTTCCTTTTTTCACTTGTGGCATTGGCCCTTTTGGTTAGAAGGTATTGTGTTAGAGGTGTTACTTCTAGGTTTGATGTCATGAAATTTCTTGGATTCTTATTTCTCATTTTAGCCGCTTCGATTGGATGTTCGATTTATTGGTCTCAAACCACCAAAGGGTGGATTGGTTACGCGATATTAGTACCTATTTGGTTTGTCGGGACATTCGGCATCTGGCTTTTTGTTCCGCTTGCAAAGAAGCCGAAGATTTGGGGTGTACCGCTTGTGCCATTTTTGCCGTCCGCATCCATTGGCATCAACATTTTCCTTCTTGGAACATTAGATAAGGCCTCATTTAAGAGATTTGGTGTTTGGACTGCAATTTTGGTGGTATATTACTTGTTTGTAGGTGTACATGCATCTTATGACATAGCAAAGGCACAAAAGGAGAAGGAGAAACTAGATACTAAGATTGAGTCTAAGTTGGATGAAGAAAAGGGTGTTTCATTGGTGATAGGATCTAATACTAAAAATGAAAATCATACATAGGAGAAATTTTAATTCATATATCGTTTGTTGATAGTTATGTGTGTTTGTGTGAGAGTAACTTAGACAATCAAGGTGTGTTTGCTTGTAAATGTGGTTCTTAATGCTTATATATTTTAGAACTCTTAGATTTCTATATGAAACATTCCATATGTTTGTAAGGATCTATATATTGATCCAATGGACTACCTTTCCTCAATACATGATCACTTGTTGTGGAGAAATGTGTGCATAATTTTTTTTGTCAATCAAAATTGACAAAAAAAACTGAAGTAAAAGTAAAGAGAATAGAATAGTAAAGCTACACTCAATTCTCTCAAAACAATGATGGTAATAAGACACTCTTTCTCAAAAATAATTGCTACAACTCTATTTCACACTATCACCTTGAATTGTCTCTCTTGAATGAGATGATAAAACTCTTCACAAAACCTCCTTATTATGAGAGAAGGATTTTAATTAGAAACTCTCGTTGTATCATAGCAATTAAGATATGTATGGATTTTTCCTTACTTCAATTTTTTCTAATCAAACACTTCTTGTATCCGGATGTCCATGACTCACAGGGTTTGGCCTAATGGCCTAATGGTGATTTCTAAATGACCATGTAATGGAACACACACATTTAAAATTATGCATGTTAAATCTCCCAAGAACTTTCTTGATAGAGTTTTTTTTTTTTGACATCCACAATTTTTTTTAGAATACTCTTAAATGATTGTTATTTTACAATTCTTCCCCATTCCACCAAGTTTGTTTTTTCATTGCATAAATCTTTTTAAGTTCATTTATTTTATTAAATATTTTTTTTTAACAATAAGCATATCATCGACATACAACAAAAGTCTAACAAATTCACAGTTTTTATAATCATTCTTAAACTGACAATCACCATTATTTTAAAACTTATTTTAAATTATTAAGGTTTTTTCTTCAAAGTATGTACAAGGTATTTTTGTCTTGGTTCAACGAAACATTTATATTTCTCTATATAATTATCTATATCTTGGTTTCCATGTAAGAATGTTGGTTTAATATCAAATTTTTCTTCAAGTTCAATTTTACTTCTAAAACAATGACTGCTCTAATGGATGTTATCTTTACCACTAATGAGAAGATTTATTCGATGTTATCTTTACCACTGATGAGAAGATTTATTCAAAAGCAAGATCTTCCACAATCTTTCTTCAATCGCAAATCCAGAATAACAAGACTACCAGAGTTCTTCCATCAGAAAAATATGCAGCGGAACCACCAAAGAACGTCTTCAACATGCCCTAAACAAGATGTTAAAACATCTTATAGGACACCATACAAAAGAATTAGCCATTCCTTCTGCAGTTGTTGTAGAAACTCCTCAGAAACCTTAAACAACCATCAATAGTTATTCCTCTTGATCCATAACACTCATCTCAACCATCAATACCTTTGAGTATATCAGAATAAATGATTTGATCTCTCTAACACCTCCTCCTTTAAATCACCAGAAAGTATCTCCCAAGATCTCATCCAGAAACAGACAGGATGTCTGCTCGAATACCAATTGAAATTCTAGCAAGCATATTGCAGATGTCCTAACAACATGCCACGACATTGTTCTATGTATAACTTTTAAAACAAGGGCAAAATAAACAAGCTGATACTCTGAATATCAACAACAGAAGCAAGACAGATGTTTCAACATTTGTTACAATATGTTAATCAATACTGAACTGCAAATTACAGAATGTTAAAATAACATAGAATATGATGACCTAGTTCGATGCAAATCACCTACATTTAGGGGCTACCAAGCCAGGAAGAAGAATCCAGTATCAGTAGTATAGTTTTATGTAAACAGCCTCTAGTTTACAGTAAACAACCTCTGGTTTACCTATCACTACTCAATGAAAACTTTATCATTAGAAGTCACATCTAATTGATAAGAGAAACTCATCTCACTCCCTAAATCACAACCTATGATAGCTAACAGTTACAATCAACGACAATTGCATCATCCTACTTGAAAGACTCCTCTTTCAATACAAAGTTCAGCCAAGCAACCTTGACTAACAATCTTACTCAGATTCTATTAGATTTGCTTCAAAGCTTTATCCAATAACAATACACGATTCATTACCTACAAGCTTCTGAATCTGTAAACCTATGTTTACCACAATGTATCAAACTAATACAAAGGGAGACTTACAACACAAGAAAGCCAACGACTCTTAAAATGTTAAACCCTTATTTCCTACTTTACAAGTATTACACCAAAATTAGTTCTTCAGTCCTAGGCCTAGGTCTTCCTTTTATAATCTTTTGTTACCCATGAGCTTAGAATCTTTTGTCAACTGATTCTTTGATCCACTGCTGTGATCGCTCCTTGAATCTTGCAACAGATTTAAAGCAACTTTCTAAATTAGTCCAGGATGCCGAGTCTTCATGCTAGGACATGTCATTCGACATCTTTATTATCTACATAATTCTTTATGTTTGATCATCTTGTTCTTCATTAAGTTTTACCAAAATTTTAATCAAACCTCAGGAGCTTTCACATGAACTACGGAGCTCTGATTTCCTCGTTGCACTATGAGGATACGTAGGCATAAGATTGCGAGATCTTGGCGAGCAACCTTCCTTCATTTTCACCCTTAGTTCTCCAAACTACGGAGCTCTAATTTTATCATTGCACTATGAGGATACGTAGGAACGAGGGCCCCAATCCTCCGTGAGCACACTTTAATTAAACCTTTTTTCCCATTCCCCAAGTAACATCTAGATAGTAACACCAATCTGAACAAAGAACAAGTAAAATGGTTCTCGTCGAGTACAACAAATGTTAATTTCAAAATTATTTAAAAGAAACTTATCCTAAAATTGAATTTACACTTGAGGGAAACATCTGTAGTGTTCACAAGGTTGTTTTAATGTTGGTTTTGCACAAATTAAATTTGTGGTGATGAAGATACAAACAAAATAAAGGTGTTAATTGAACGAGAAAAATGATACATTTAATTGTATAAAAAGAATGGATGAAAAATAAAATGAATCTTAACTTTTTTTTTTGTAAAATGGGAGGGCCAAAGGCCCAAACAAGGAAAGACTAGGCAACAAGCCTAACAAAAAACCTGGAACAATCTAAACTAACAAGACGCCTTAAACCTATCGTACAAGAGTCAAACTAGATACAAGCATCATTCTTATACAATATATGTTTAGCTAAATAGTCAGCACACTGATTTGCTTTTCTAAAAATATGCTTGAATTTCACTTCGTCAAAATGATGCAGGATTTGAAGAATATGTCTCTGAAGAATATATCTAGCCAACTTCACACCTTGTTGCTGAGAAAGTACCCGTTTTTAAAGCGCTGAAATAGCATAATTGTTGTCAGCTTAGACCAAAATCTTCTTGAAGCCTCTTTTCCTAACAAAATCCAAACTTATGAGAATGCCCCATAATTCAGCCGACATTTTGTTGCAAACACCTGTATGTTTATGAAAACCACCAAGCCAATTTCCTTGTCTGTCTTGAAATATGTCCCCACACTTGGCAATAAATCCATTGCGAGAAGCCCTGTCGGAGTTGAGACAAACCCACCCCAAAGGAGGAGGACATCAATGAATTAAGGCCGAAGATCTATTAACAGGATGAATCTTTAAAGCAATGCTCTTGCAGTATTTGTACATAGAAACAAACTTTCGCACTTCCTGAGACAGATTAGCCGGCAACACAAAGTTTGGGTCATGAAGCATCTTATTTCGCCAAGTCCACATAAGATGGCAGCCAAAAGCCCAAATCTATGGCCAATCTCGATCAGTATGCTGAACAGAGTGAGAGAGATCAAAAGAAATAAAGTCATGCAATGAAGTTGAGAAGAAACTCTCCTTGGCATTATGATTGATCAGCTGGTTCCAAAATCTTTTTGGCAAAGTGCAGTTCCGAATAGCATGCATGATGGAATCCGGTTGAGAACCACAAATATCACACTTGTTGTCTCTCAGATGGAGATTACTGAGGAACTCATTAGTAATAAAGCCTTTGTGCCAAATTTTCTAGATAAGGTTGCGAACACGCTCAGGGGCTTGAAGGTGCCAAATATTATCCCAGAGCAGGTGATCTCTATTTTTCAAATTCATTCCCAGCTTAGCAAGACAAGCTTTTTCATAACCGACAAGTTCTGAAGGCCAAGGCCACCATTGCATCTGCCTTTGCATAGAATACTCCAACGAATACTATATATGTGCTTCTTCTCATAAGAATCACCCAATATAAAGGATCTTTGACATTGATGGATTTTATTAATGCAAGCTTAAGGGATA